TTTTACTAAAATAATTATTTTTTAAAATTAAAATAATTATCTTACGAGTTTTATTTTTTTAAGTCACAACTTTTTAAATTTAACGGTTTTAATATTTTTTTAAAATTAAAATAATTATTTATAATAAAATTATTACTTATAAAATAAATAAAAGTTATTTTAAAAATATTTATAAAAATTTCTTATATTTATTTTTATAATAAAGAGTTTTTTTTTGTTTGTGGGCTTGTTAATTATTAGTCATTATTAAAGTTTCATTCAAATGGTTACCATTTAAATCAGTAATTATTACAATTTCGATTTAAATGTAATAATAAAAAAATTAATTTGTATATAATTAGTAGTTATTACAATTTCAATTTAAATGTAATAATAGAAATGTTAATTTGTATTTAATTAATAATTATTACAATTTCAATTTAAATGTAATAATAGAAATGTTAATTGGTATATAATTAGTAATTATTACAATTTCCATTTAAAAGTAATAATAGAATGTTAATTTATATATAATTAAAATTATTATAGTTTTCGTTTAAATGTAATAATAAAAATGTTAATTTGTATATAATTAACAATTTAAATGGTAACAATTTAATTGGTAACAATTTAAATGAAAACTCTAATGTTAATTTAAATGGTAACATTGTAATAATAGAAATGTTAATTTAAATGGTAACCATTTCAATAATTTAAATGGAAACTCTGATAATTACTAATAATTAAAAAATATAGTCCACAAAACTAAAAATACTATTTGTTTTAACACTAAAATCCTCTACTAATTGATTACCATAGGTCTGTAATTGATTACCAGAGAGATTTTGCCTATTATAGGTGAAGTTGTGCCTCCTTTGCACGAGTTCAGTCTTATATAATCGATTACAATGTTTTATAATCGATTATCAAGGCGTGAAATCGTTTTAGGGATGTACAGCTTCACATCTGACTCATGTGTTAGGATGAAGTCGTGCAAGGGAGTACGACTTTTTTATTTAAAGTCGTTTGGACGTTTCACGACTTGCCTAGATCCGTAATTTTGAAATATTTTGTCTAAATCCATAATTTAAAATATTTTGTCTAGATCCGTAATTTTTTGTTTAAATTTGTCTATATACTTACAAAAACCGAATAACATAGGTGGAATTTGTCTGACTTTTGTCCTATATAGGTTTCCACATCCATTTAAAACCCCATGACTTCTTTCCAAACCCCAAGACCCAAAAGCTAAATTTACACGACCAAATCAAAATTAAAGATAGAGAAAATGAATGAATGGTTTTAAAAGATAATGGATTTTGAAAAAAAGTAGAACATTAGATGAGTTTAAATAGATGTGGAGGACAAAAGTTACTCACATCATTTCTGTGCTCCTTACATTATTTTTGTGGCCCTTGCATCATATTTCATTTAATAAACACGTACAAAATAGTCACAAAATTCAAAGTTATACTTTAAAAACTTTTTATCTTTACTTATTTGTGTCTGAAATAAATTTTACTTTATGACATTTTAATGAAAATTGTTTATAGAAATTTTTTAAGCATTTTTTTTTGTGTGCACACAATATTAAATAATTTTTAATATACACATAGTCTATTTAGGACATATTCAACAGGAATGGTAAAATGGGTCAAATTGTCCCATTTTATAGTTAGCCTTTCGTTGCCCCACAAAAAATGAGGTGGGACAAAGTCTCGCATAGAAGAATAAAATGGAAAATTTTAATTTTTTCTATCAAAGGACATGTTAGTGGGTTGACTCTCGTTAACTTTTTTATTTTTAAAATTTTGTTATTTAAAAGTTAGATTTATATATATTAAAAACACATGGTAAGTATTTTTAAGTTTTACTAATTTAATTAAAGTACCTATTAGAATAAATTAAAATAATTATTATTTTTATGTTAATAATTTAAGTTACCTTCTATATTTACTTTAGTAATTAATATAATTAAAAAAAAGTTAATTATTTTTTATTTTAAAAAATGCAAATGAGTTGAGCCACAACAAAATGGTGGATTAAAAATTTAAATAAAGAACAAAATAAATAACACATTCAATATTGAATATAGATAAGACCAATTTAAAATATATATAAATAATGCAAACATCATGTTATAACTGATTTTGTAAAGTTGAGTTAGACTTCAAATTTACCTCTTAACATGATATTAAAACTGAGTTAGAATCTAACCTAGTGAAGATGTTTGTTGAGTTTATTCTACCCATTTTCGGATCATCCGTTAATCTCTAGTCTCATACACAAGATGTATATATACCTTGATTGAAAGTCTCACGTCAACCCGAAATAAAACCAATTCACAATATATAAGTAAAGGTAAATATTACATTATAAATGGGTTGATTGAGAGTATAAGTTAGATTTAAATTAGTATTACCTAATAATTAATTATACTAATTTCTTTATAGAATTTTGTATAAAAATATAATAATTACGTTTTTTTTTTCAGTTGGTACATTTAATCAATTGTGTACCGGATTTTAGTAGACAAAAATACCCTCGTATATTATGAATTCTAAGTATTAAGATCAAGGGTATTTGAATAATTTTCATTCTCAAAACTAAAAAACCAAGAAATCCCAAACCCTTACTAAACTCCCTTATCCCTCTCAACCCTTTCTCTATCATCTCTCTCACTCCAACATTTTATGTGTCATCCCTATTTCATCCCTATTGTAGTGCCAATTGAAAAAAATTTAAAATCTATATATATATTTGTTACAAAAAGACACATTTGGTAATATTATAAATTTTGTTTTATATTTTCTTTTAACTTATTTTAGCAATACGATTAGCTTATAAAATTTAAAATTTTTAAACCAATATCTGAAATGTCAACTATATCTAATAGTTTAATTTAAACAATAATAATAATAATAAATATGTTTAGAAATATATGTCAAGATGAACAGTTAAATATAATACTTAAACATACCAAATGGCAAAAAATTAGAATTATTTTCAATATGACAAGTTTTCATATATCAAAATAATAGTTTACTCATATAACAATATAATTTAATTGTTTTCTATTAATACTTTTTTTATTATTTGTATTTTTAATGTACTAATCAATATAGTTGCCCATTGTAAAAAAGAAATATCTTACGTTAATTTCTTTTAAATAAGAAATTAAAAATATACATTTTAATCATATTACATTCTTAAAATTTATTTTTAAAGTAAGTTGATGTTTAAAATAAATAAATGAATAAAATTTATGTTTAAAACAATTATTAAATTTTGTTTCTAACATGTTAAAGAATGACTTATATTTAAAGTATTATTTTTTTCATATACTATTTTTTATTATTTATAATTATTTAGTCATTTAATAGAATTAAATTTAAAAATATATTTTATTTTTATTTTTAAAATAATATTATTTTAAAAATAATACATATTTATTGATAATGAAATGTAAAAAAAATTATTATGAAATAATTTTGTCTTAAATTATTTATCAATAAAAAATTGTATTTATAAATGTTTATATGAAATAATAATGTAAATATTTTTATTAAATTAATTTTATCTAATAATATTATTTTTAATTTACTAATTAAACGAGCAACACTTATTAAATGTATTTATTCATACAATAATTAAATTAGTCTAACAATATGAAATGAATCTCTTTATACAAATGTAATATAAGTCTATTAGTTTATATTAGACAATTATATTCATTCTCTTGTTATATATCCATATACTAATTCAACAAATTCAACAAGTCAAACAAAATATATCAATTAGACAATTATAATTATATTCATTCTCAGATTAGTTGCATCTTACAATATACATTAATCTATCATATACTAATTCAACAAATCCGACAAATATATGAATGATTATATAAATTTAAAAAATTTAAAAATACACAAATATGTCCACACGTTACATTGATTTGTATTTATAATAAAATATATTGTTCTTTGTCCTTTTAAAAAATTTACTCTATATTTTCACATATTATATCCTTTGTATGTTACAAAATTTACTTTTTATATTTCTATTTTCTAAACTTATAATAATTTTTCACCTTAATTTTATTCAAAATTTAATTATAAACCTAAATATATTATTATTTTTTCTTCAACATCTAAAAATCTTTTAATGTAATTTATATTTACTAATATATAAAAAACACAAAACACACAAAAACAACAATCCGTGCCTGTGCACGGGTTAAAACCAGCTAACATAAAAAATTAAGATAGTAAACCATAGAATTATGTTTGCATAAATTACAATATTATAATTGATGAAAATTTTAAAATATTGAAAGATAAAATATTTTTAGCCACATGTTGCAAAATGAAGTGACCACTCGTCTTAGAGTGTAGATGTAAATTGCAGCAAGTGCCCAAAGGCTTCTCTTCCCCTAAAATTTTATGTACCAAAGAAATTGAAATTTTAAAGAAAAATGTTTCAACATTACACATCAGAATAAGTAACNTGTCCTTTTAAAAAATTTACTCTATATTTTCACATATTATATCCTTTGTATGTTACAAAATTTACTTTTTATATTTCTATTTTCTAAACTTATAATAATTTTTCACCTTAATTTTATTCAAAATTTAATTATAAACCTAAATATATTATTATTTTTTCTTCAACATCTAAAAATCTTTTAATGTAATTTATATTTACTAATATATAAAAAACACAAAACACACAAAAACAACAATCCGTGCCTGTGCACGGGTTAAAACCAGCTAACATAAAAAATTAAGATAGTAAACCATAGAATTATGTTTGCATAAATTACAATATTATAATTGATGAAAATTTTAAAATATTGAAAGATAAAATATTTTTAGCCACATGTTGCAAAATGAAGTGACCACTCGTCTTAGAGTGTAGATGTAAATTGCAGCAAGTGCCCAAAGGCTTCTCTTCCCCTAAAATTTTATGTACCAAAGAAATTGAAATTTTAAAGAAAAATGTTTCAACATTACACATCAGAATAAGTAACAATTGTCAACAATCAAAATTTAAGATTTCGCAAGACTGATTTGACATGCCATCTCTTCTCAGTTCTCTTTCTACTTTCTTTTTCTACAATAAAAGAATCAACCATAAGATTACGACAAAAGGAAATTTAAGACCGAAAATGACGATCTATCTCACAAGGTAAAATAACAAAAACAAAAAAGTTCCCCTTTTCCCTTTATCACCTGAAAACATGTTTAAATTCAATCTGTGGTAGTGTTTAACCTAATCGATACATCTCAGGATGAATCAACAATCTCCCAAAAGCATCTTACTCACAAATCACGATCAATTTAGCCAGGTCAAGGATGCCTGTCCAACCACCGGAATGGATAGATTCAATATATTTTCAATGCAGAAAGAAATGGTCCTCACTTGCCAGACAAAAAATAAAACCCGTCTTTAAAAACTGCTTATTTAGCCAGGGAAGCTGCCAAAAGAGGGAATCAACATATAAAGTCGGTAAGTGATTATATTCAGATCACTCTATATAGAAATTTAAAACATAAGCTCTGCCTTCAAGGCACTAAAAAACAGTTTTCCAAGGATAATAGTACTATAGTAGTCAGTTAAAGATTCTGGATATTCATTCATATGGTAAAATTCTGGATATTCATTCATATGGTAAAATTCAGAGTCCATTGATAACCTCTAAACCACAAGATTTAACTAAACTTTTCTCTAAAACGGAATACAAGCCATACCTAAACATTATGATTGCTGCACTTGCCGGGATATCTGTAACATCCATTCAGCGTACCCACTGTTACCACCCATCTGGTCCTCAACGAGGTTTGAAAGAAAGAGGAATCCTTCTTTGGGCTGTTCACCTTGCCTCACAAGGTGGCATAACTGGTAATAAGCACGATCTTTATTTCTCAACTTCTCAAGTAACTTCATCAATCTCCTTGACATTTCATTGTCATGCTCACTGAGTGTAGTCTGTTAAAACAAACAAGGCATACACACAGAACCAGATTTTTTTTATTAGATAAATAGGACAAAATAAAATTACTCTACTATGATTTGATGCTATGAATTTGCCATACAAGGAGTTAAGAATAATATCCATAAATATCGATGCAACAAAAAGAAAATATTACAACCGCAACAAATATTACAGCAGAACTGCTACTATTTAAAATGATTTAACCAAAATAACTAAAATAATACATACCATGTACATATAAATGTTAAAAAAAAATACAAAAACAAAGTCCAAATTGATCACATATTTGTATGTTTATAACGATAAAAAGTCAGATCACATTCTTAAGCAAGCATACAAGTAAAAAGCAATAAAATAGACTAGAAATGAATTTGGTTAAGAGATGATAATAAGAAAACAGATTTAAGACTAGAGACAAAAATAGAAAAAGGTCACAAGTCACACTACTTCTATGATTCGTCAACACGTTTCAAACTTTCCTTCAACATGTGGTCTATGTTTTCATCTGTGGGATTCACCAGTGCACAAGAGTAGGTTGAGGAAGGAAGACGGGACTTATTCAAACCAGTTCTAGAGATGACATGGCCATTGCAAGGAGGAAAAGACAGAGGTGATTCAGTATACTGGTCAGATAAGACATAAGTGCAGAACCCATAGAAGGGTAGATAGGTGAGAGAATCATGGCAAACTACTTCGAATTAGGTTTTTATC